ATGTTTGGTGGGCTTGCACCAGAGACTATCTGCCCTTCCCCCGGCAAACTTAGCTTAAACCCTGGTGAAGCAGGTCAGCCATTCTGGCTGAGAAGAGCTTCTTCCCCGTGTGAGTGAGGTGGAGGCCATCCCTTCCCAACAACTCGCTGGCTCTCTCTCTGAAGTGTGGGCCGTGGTCGTAGAAGCCAAAGCCTTCTCAATGACACCAGCACCGTAGTCTTCTGTTTAATTCCTGAATTCTTCTCACCCTCCTGTGCCCATGACCCATAATGGGAAGGATCAAGGAGAAAACCACCTGTGCCCCCAACTCTTTGAGCCCCGCTCCTGAAGTCCTGTAGTCAGTCATGACCCAGCTGGGATTGTTTCGAGCCACGTCATTTGTGCCCACATGGATAAGAAGCACGGGGTAGTGGTCAGAGGCTGGATAAGTTTTGGGATCATCTCAGCCACATCCTGGATATGGGCCCGTGGGAGGCAGCAAACCACATGGGCTAAGGGGTCAGGGCAGCAAATAGCTCCCTCAGTCCCCTGCAAGAGGGAGTCTCCCACAACAACCTCTCCGCATTTCTTCCTAGAGGTGGCTGCAGGATGCTTTTCTTCTTTGGGTGTAGGAGCTGACAGTTCTGATGGCTTATCTGGCACTGTGAGGATTTCATACCTGTTGTGAAGGTCCATGGGAGGGTTGACCCTGGTGCAATGTGCCTTGGGGCTGAAGACAACCGTCGTCCAGGTGACCCCTGGCTCTTCTGTCTTCTGGTGAAGGGCCTGGCAGTAGGAGTCAATCTCCTCTTTGCCACCCCTGATGGCACTCTGTCTCTGCACCGCAGCCTGGAGCTCCCCTATTTGGTACACCAGGGTCTCCAATGTGAAGCAAACCACACAAGGGGAGGCGACAATGCTCCTGATCCCAGGTGCCTACAAGCATTACAGGCATTACATTCTGCTGCAGTCCAAGTTGCTCGTGTGAATCTCACTGAGATGAAGTCTGGCATGCAAAGTGGAAGTCAGATGCATGTTTTTCTCTTAAACGTTGTTGAAATCGATTATTTGATAGTATTAATCTCTAAAAAATATAGCAGCCATGTGGTTTTAAACACTTTTTAAGCCAGTTTGGCTTTAAAACACTACAACATTTTGCAGCACATCATAGAACCAGTCTTGAAAGACATTTGGTCCATAATGTGAACCAGTGCTTTTAAAGATCTGCTGATCCCTGCCTGAGAACAAGAAAAGAAAGGAGCATTCTACTGAAAAGCAATTGTGCATCTCTCTCCATTTTCTGTTTTGATCTTCCTCTGTTTACACGATCATCATTTCTACAGTGACCAACTCTAACGTAACACACAGAAGAGTATGACTTCATGAGGGAAAAAGACAGCAAGAACAGCCACAAGGAATAGCTTCACTGGCACATATATGATTTTGAAGAGAGGGTTGCAAATGGTGCGGTGCATCATCACGTAAAACACAACACACATTTTTCTCCAGGTAAAAAGAAACTAGAAGCTTCACTAATATGCTAGGGGTTGAGGGCTATATTATTCAGTTCAAGATCAAAGCAAAAAACAAATAAAACTTTATTGGAATGTGCATTTATTTGCTATACCATATATAATGTATAACAACAACAAAACAAACCAGGCAAAAAGTAACCCAAAGATTATGTTTCTTCAGTCCTGTTGTCATTAGAATTAAATGTACATATCTTTTAGAACCATAAAACAAAACCTAGCCTTCTTGAGACTCGTGACAGTGCATCCAATGCTTCATTGAGAGTTACTTCCACATATGAGTAGATGTTTACCCAAGTTTGTTTCCATAACTGAATTAATGCTTTTAGCTAGAGTTAAAAACAGTCTGTGGGGCTGGGAAATAGGAGCTATATTAGGAGGAGCAGCTAATAGAGAGCAGAACTGCAGAAGAAAAGCTAACCTGATTAGTGGACCATTAAAAGTCACTAACAGAGGGTCATTAACACCTGTGGAATGAAGAGTTTAGACAGACTCAGGTAGATTATACTGAGCCATTAAGTTACTCCCTCACTGCTACCTGAACACAAATATGACTGCCACTGTTTTGGGTGGACCAGGAATCAAAGCGGGGTGTGATTACACAGCTAAACCTCCCTCGCCCCCCCCCCCCCCCCCCGGGATCTGCTCCTTTTTGTGGAAAGATCACCTATAAAAAAAAAAACCAGACAAAAAACAGAACAGACTTGAAAGACCATTCAGAATTTTTCATTGAGTATATAGCAGGTCATAACATAAGATATTTAAGTTTGAAAATGAGCAGAAATGACCTAGCATACTACAGCAGTGCGGTTAAAACTGCACATAACAAACATAACTATCCAACTTTTATACCACTCACCTCCCTCTATCCCCAACTGCCTAAAGGACTGACAAATTCAATATTAATGGGATTGTCACACTGTGTCCACATAAGCCAAAGCCACAATACAATGTTGGTCAACACTCCAGCTGACACCTACATCAAAGTGAAGTAATAACAATTGTGCAGATGGAGAAGACTGGTATGGCATCGCAGGGAGGTGGGGCAGGGAAAAGAGATCTCCAATAGCTCTTCTTAAATCTCTAATGTCTGTACTTTCATGATGCTGTTCTACATATCAGAATAACCTCTGTGGATGTCAGGGTTTTGTTTTTTTTTGCTAAATTGCATGAAGGCCATGTGTTATAATACCACAACTGGTTGAATTCTCAGTAGTCATCCTTAATTGCAGTTATAGTATTTGCTGGTTTATCTGTTTGCAAGGCAAAGAACTGAATTTACATGCACAGATAGAATAACTGAACCCTTAAGCTCAGGGGTGTTAAACACAGCCTGCAGGCTACATCTGGCCTGCAAAGCACTGCCACCTGGGCTCCTGGGTCTGTGGGAGGCCAGATGAGTGCAACACCCCTGCCTTAGTTGATACATGCAAATATCAATGTGCATGAATGTTTCTGGGATTTTGTACTAGGAAAACATCCTCTTATAAAAACTCCTCATTACTTACTGAAATTAAAAAGTGATGAAAATCTGGCAAGTCACGCCAGAAATTTTAGAGTTAGGAAAAAACCAAAGTTGTAATTTTTTTCCATTTTGGTTTATCCCATTGTATTTAGGTGCTGCAGAATTTTCAGAGCTCTGATTTTTCACACATAAAAGTACTTACAACTATTCCTTCATACAGTCAGGTGAGCCAAGAAACTAACTTGCAATTTAAAGCATGATCTTGTCTTGACATTTTTTTGTGCATAATGTTTGCACTAACAAGTTGGTATAGAATAGAGATTTTGCATTTTGAAGTCATCCCTGTACCACTGCCATTTATTTAATGAATACTCTTGGGCACTCTAACCTGAAAGATTGTTCATTAGATTTGTGCATCTGGCACTATCAGCAATCTGCTGTACTTCTTATGTAGGCTTAAAACAGCAATGGAAATATAATTTTCAGATGAATTAAAGTTAACTAGTCTCCCAGCGAGTCAGACAAGTGACTTTTATGGTGTATAAAAATGCTGATGTTCTAATAAACTATAAAAAGGAGAAAGACCCACAATACAGAAGAGACCCCCTCATGTATTGCAAAAAAAAATTCAGTATAGATAAATTCTGTTCCCTATAAGTTGCATCCCTAAATCCTGTTCAGAGCTAACTATTTTAAAAAATTACAAAAGAGGAGAACTTAAAAGACCAAAGCAAGGGCAAAATGTTTCCTGATGTTTTGTGCAAAGTAATGGAGAGATGATGAGATGTAGACATAGGGCCATCTGTTATCGGAGACAAAGGCTACAGAAGAGAAGACTCTAGCATCAATACTGGGGAGATCAGTGGAGAAAAAACATGTTCAGAAAGAAATTCTAAGGTAAAACTAGACCATATCCACTTGTCTGCCTGAATCATAATATTTTCCATTTTCAAAAACAAGAATTTTTCAACAGTGAAGAAAAATGTGCATGAAGAAAAATACTGGGTGACAAAGTACTTCAGCACCTTTCTTAATGAAATATGTGTATAAGATATTACCATCTGACATACAGCTCTCAAATGCTACTATGCAGCCAAATGATTGTCACAAGATTGAGGACCAATCCATCTACTAAATGGTGTGAACTTATGACCTGCTAGTTACAATCTGACACTTCAACTAGATTCTCCATAGCCATATTTTCTGTTGGAGAAAAACTGCTTTCATTGAGAAAACTGAATGCTATAAAACTGTATTTAAATCCTGAGTCACAAGCTCATCATTGGTACATAAAAGCAAATAGTTACAGTGAGCAGGTACAATGGTATTTGCTTTCAAAACTTTGGAATATCTCCTTCATTGAATTTCAGAGGTCCTCAGATTTTGCAACCAAAACACTGTTTGAATCCCTTACCTCTTAATAAGCTGCAATTTTGGGTCAAGGTTTTCTCCATGTTGGATATTGTACATATATTACATATTTTTACATTTAAATAGCCTAGATGGCTCAGAAGAACATGGAAGACAGATGGACTCCTTGGCACATATAGCTGAAAGATCTGAATGAACTAAGGGTTTTGTTTCTGCTGCTAGGTAGGTTGAGGTCTACAATTTTGTTAAGCACTGACAATGTGTTCATCTCTATACTGGAGACAGACACAGGACAATTCCTTCCATGAGGAAGACGCGTTTAGGGGACATGCCTCAGTTTTGTCAGCAGAAAGCTGGACCCTTGCAACAGCCATCACTAAAGGCAAGTTCATTTCTAAACAGACAAGATTTTCATTAGCTAATAATTTGTTAGCTTGCAATCAGCTTGCAAAAACTTTCTTCTAGAAACTGTGCGCTATTTCTGATATAGATAACTTTGACGTACAATTTAAGAAACAGGCCAAACACATTCCCAACTTCAAAAAAATCCATGAGAGCTGACAGCTGGTTAACATGACACTTTAGAGCGTTTTCTAAAGCCCTGAAACTTTGAAGCTTCTTGGTTTATTTTAGCATTTGATCAATAGACCTACCAATAAGGTGAAACTGTGTTCAGGCAGAATTCCATACTGTTCAACAAGCCTCACTCTCTTCACACTGGGGAGGTCAGGAAGCCTCTCTTGAATCCAATCAATATTTACCACTTGCTGATCGTCTATATTAGCAGGCAAAGATTTAGCATCATACAAAATCAATGGAGGAAGGTTTGGCTCTGGCATGAACCTGGCAAAAATGAAGAAAGACTTCTTTGGAGTTATTTTTAGTGAGGATGATCCTTAGCATCTCAACAACAAAGCTGTAAATTTTATGTGAGAACATTTATGCTCCTCTGGAAATAATCTTACTAGATTTAACTGAACAATATATTGAAAATTCACAACCTGGTGCATTAGCGTGGAATAGGAAAAGATCAGTTCCCATGCTTTTTCAGAGCCACTATTTTCTCTCTCTGATTTCCTGCCACTGCTTGTCAAAAGAACCAGCAATAGAAAAAGGTGAATTTAAAATACTTTAGACGCGAAATAAATAAAAACATGGAGGTAACCCATCCCTCTTGAGGCTGAGCAGGCATTGTGACTGGCAAGGGGGTGCTGGCTGGCAGGGAGAGAAATGGATTGACAGCCAGATGCCAGGGGCATTTCGTGCAGGTTGCAACCTCTCTCACATTAACCTGAGAAGTCTTGATGAAACCTCACGCTGAGTTAAAAGCAAAGTTACCATGCTCAGCAGGATGCCATAGTAAATAAAACTGAGTGACATCAAAGAACAAAGGCTCTCTTTAAAAAGGAGGCTAATTCAAGCCAGAAGAGTACTGCAATTGAAGCAGCAAACCTCACTTTTGCATGAACAAATGATGGATTCATTAATGACAAAATATAAAAACGTTTGGATTTGTCCCTTGTACACAGCTGGGACACTCTCAGAGAGCGGACTGCAATTAAAAGAAGAAACTGCGGTACATAGGATAGGTTTAAATTCAGCCTTTGTTGGACAGAAATAAGTTCACAATATAGTTGAAAAATACATCTTAAAACCTAACATCACAAGATATTTCTATTTGAAATAGCTTAGACATTCTTCCTGCCTGAATCTGCCCGAATATTTTCTTTTATCTTTTATCCAAATGAGCCATTTTAAATAGGAGCCATGCCTGACACTAATCTGTTAGGGAATTAATTCATAGAATGGGCATAATCTTTTCTTTTAATGCCCAGGCATTTAGAAATAAAGGTTAAGCAGGCTATCATATTAGCCCTTGGTTAGCCTAGCTCTAGCTGTCAAAAACTGAAAAATCCATTCTGCCCTAAGCACACAGTGCTTTTCTACAGATGTGAGTCTGAATACAGGTATTTATAACATTAGGGTGGGATTTCTGGAAGTGCTAACTCTGTTTCCATTAAAGTCCATAGTAAAATATCCATAGCCTTAATGGGACAGAGAAAGTGCTGAGTGCTTCTGAAAATCCCTTATTAAATATCTACCTAAAGTAGCTAACCTTTTCAGATAATGCCTGCTATCACGAGATCTAGGCACGAGATGAAGGGCCCCACTTTGCAAACTTGTAGTTTTCTACAACACATGTTGGAAGTGGAAGTGACTTTTGACTCTGAGCATCCACATTCATCATACCAGAGGGCCACAGCACAATGAGTTTGTAGCATATGCACTGAACCCACACGTTATCCAACAAAAGTTTCTGATAAATCTCCTATTGGCTTCAGCAAGGCAGATACCCATATCTGAACAGCTGTGAATAGGGCCTGATTTTTAGAAGCAACAAATGTCCTCAACTGAAATCAATGGTATTTGAAAGTATTTGAGAAATGAGCTGAGCTCTCAGTTCTTGAATAAAAGTTAAATTAAAAAAATGAATATGTATTACCGATAATCCTGTTTTCCTTCTTTGTCTCTCATTGGTATCGTGCGCCTAAAACAAGACAACATAGGTAGCATATAACACATGACAGAAGTTACCCTTTGTTTAGCAACACTTGTACTGTTACCTAGGGAGTTTTATGGGAAAAACTTCACACCATGCAGACTGAGAAAGTTTCGTTAAGTCAGTTTAATGCAGACTTACTAGGAGGTTCGATTTAATTCTACCTTCACACTGAACAAAGTAAAATTTTTCACTACAGTATTTCATCATTGCAAAAATTTACCTGTGTGCTGTATGACAGCCTGATTATATAGCCATAAACAAGTAACAAGTCCAGCTGGACTCCAATGAAAGTTTTGTCCAAGTAACAACTGCAGGATGCAGATGAACGTAAAGATGTCAATAGTTAGCTGCATCCAAGACAGCAGTATACATTCACATGGGAAGATGAAGTCTAGTGTTTAGGAGACCTAGCTTCTGTCGCCTGTTCTGAAAAACAGTTCTGTGTGACCCATACCCCTCTATGTCTCTTGTTTTTAGCCTACTTAATCTATTTTGATTGAAAACTCTTCAGAACAGACATTGCGCCTGGTTCAACTGGCCTCACTGGAAGGCTGGAGGAGGTATTCCAATACAAATAATTCTCGTGGTGGACTATTACCATGAATGGTAACCTTAAAAAGAATGAAGTTGACTGAAGTGAGAAGATGCCATCTCCAGTGATCATCCCACCAGGGAGCATGAGATCTGCAAGAGAAGGCTGAGAGGTGATCTTGTGGCCACCTACAAATTCATTAGGGGGCCACAGCAAGGGATTGGAGATGCTCTGTTCACCAGGGCGCCTCTTGGAGTAACAAGGAACAATGGTCACAAACTGACAGAGCAGATTTAGGCTCAATATCAGGAAAAACTTCTTTATGGTAAGGGCGGCCAAAATTTGGAATGGATTTTCAGGGAGGTGGTGCTCTCCTGTACCTTGGGGGTCTTTAAGAGAAGGCTGGATAGGTATTTGACTGGGGTCATCTGAAGGGACTGCGGTATATAGGATAGGTTTAATTTGACTCCAGCAACTCTTTCCTGCCCAGGGCATGGGATTGGACTTGATAATCTGTTGAGGTCCTTTCCAACCCTAGCATCTATGAATCTATAAAGAACTGTTACTTGACAACATCTTCCTAAAGCAGGAACTCACCCAAGTTTATAATCAAAGGTTCTTGTTTCATTCAGAATCGTTCCTCCATTTTCAAGCTCTTCAATTTGTCTCTGTATTTCGTAGTCTGACCAAAATAAATAAATAAATGAATAAAAATCAACTAGTTGAGTTCCACTGCATCCTTACCTTTTATAAAAATAAACTATTAGATTTATCACTGTCAAACCATAATGGAAAAGATTATTATTTAACCTAATGAAATCCTGATGGAAGTCACTGGGCACAGAATCATTGGTCAAACCACTTTCTCAGTTTTGTGCATATTATACTGTAGTTTGTTGGGGGGGTTCTGTTATTGATTTTCTTTCATTTTTGACACCTGCCAACATCAGGCACTGACTGCAACCTGACTTTACAAGCAAAGTGGTCTGTCCATTCCCGTATCAGATATCTGGGGTGGGGCTGAGCCAAGGGTTCTCATCCATTCCCCACCTTTTTCTGAAGGCAAATTTTAGCTTTCCTGCCCACATGCATACTGTAGCTGCAGTCCCTCTGTATTTCACACACATCATACATCATGCCCCAGGGAAAGCAATCAACTTCATCTCAGGACAGGGAGCTTGTATACTGCTAGAATGTATCAGAGCAAAGAATGCTAAGCACTGAATCATCCACTCTGCTCTCCTACAAGACAGAAGGGCACCTCTAAAATAAAACTGCAAGCCAGAAAGTCTGATTTTCCTAGAATGGCTGTACTGAAAGCTTACATTTATTGATCCTTTACTTGTTTTATTACCTAGATAAAAATACCACCCATATTTCAATAATGGAGATAATATTTACCTACTGCTTTTGCCAGGAATCGTAAACTATTGATATTCTTCACTTCAGTCCTCACTCCATAAGGCTCTTCTGGATGATGCACAGATACATTGGCATCTACTCTTAGTTGACCCTCTGAAGAAGGAAACATCATCAATAGAGTACTCTTCCCCATGAACTGGACCAAAGAGATCAGCCTGTGTTAAAAAAGGCTGCACACAGCAGGCAGAGTGTTTAGACTGGACTTTTATCAAGAAATCTGGGTCAGGAAAAATCAGCTCTCTTAAGAGTTTCTTGTTCAAACCTCTCTCTTCAGACACAGTGAAGTTACTGAGAATATTACCTTTTGGAATGGAACTGCTCAGGAACTCTGTCAAAGAGAACTACATAGAGCAAATGCGCTGAATGTCTTCAATGCCATATTCTAAGAGACAGCTTTGGGGATTTGTCCCTTAAAAAGGATAGAACTAAGTCGAATCACCTTAAAAGACAGACAATTAGAAAAAAAGGCACACTGCAAAATTCCAGGTCTGTTTTCCTTCTTTTAAAACTATGCACACATTCCAGAATTACAAGATCTACACTGCCTTAGCATGGAACAAGAGAGTGATGCTGGGTAGTTACCAAAGTGCACAAGGACAAACGTCAGAAAATTTCTTTTTTTCATTCCTCATGGAACTGTAATCTTTTCCTCAAATAAGATTCTGAATGCTTCCTCCTGGCTGCCAAAAACATAAAATTATGGAGAGGGCAAACCTCCATTAAGTTCAAGGGTAGACAAGAAGCCCCAGGAGGTCGTTTCTGGCCCCATAATTCTGTGTTTATGATGCTCCTCCAAGACATTTAAACAGAGATGTGGTCGTGATAGTCAAATTGGGGAGAATGGTAAGAAAAACACAAGCATACATCTTTTACCTGGTAAGCTCATGTAAGTCTCCCCACACCTCATAGAGAAAACAATCTGTAGACTGACTTCTTCATCTGTACTTTAATTAATATACTATAAAACAAAGCAAATATTTGCTGTTTACCCAACAGCCCTACTGAAAAAAAAGTAAACAGCCCAGTGTAAAATCTGCAGAGAGGTCTAAAGCTTTAAAGTCCATTCAGGGTAGCAGATGTAAATTTACTGAAGTGGACTTTGCCCAGTCAGTAAAAGCTGAATGGATGTCAGCTCATTAATCTTCTCAGTCTTTCTGGCTACTTGCCAAACAGGCAAATGGAGGTGGAAGTTGAGAGAGAAACTCCATCCTTCTTTTAAAGAGCCTTTTCACAGTGGATCATACTTTGGGGTGTGAAGAAGAATATATGCCCCAAAAGAAACGGATGCAAACAGTATTCTCCTGTCTTCACTTCCCTGCTATTGAAGATTCTACTCTCACATTTGGGTTAGAAAACAATACGGTTAACCAGGCATGAGTGAAAGTAAAATAAGGCCCTGTGTGGGTTTTTTTTTTTTTTAAGGCGTTTCTCCTGTTTGATCCTTGGGCTCTCAAGCAGCTTGTTGCTATCAAAGTGACAGATGATAAAATCACTGTTTGTCATGACTGCACACACAAACAGAAGGAAGATAAAAATATGAAGGAACAAACCCTCATTTAAACACAAGTAACTTTGGTAAGTGAAAAGCACAGTAAAAACACCATCCTAAACACCAGAGAAAAAAATGAATTTAATATTTAATGTGTTGGGAAAAGAAAAATACTGCAAGTATGAAAGCCCCTCTTTAAAAAGTCAAAGCCAAAAGTAGCATGGGAAACAGTGCAATTCCACTAGAGGTATCAAAGCCAAGTAACCCCAATCGGGATAAACACTTCAGTGTGCTAGGTGCTGTGCTAACACACAAGATACGTGCCCCAAAGAGCTTAATAGCTAATTCCCCACTATATTAAGTCAGGCCTGAATCATTCATCACCCAACTTTCCCAGGGTCACATTCATTTTCACCCTGGGTAGGTGCAATGGCCAGTCCTCCCACCTTACCCCACAGGCTGAGTTAGATGCCAAATCAGTGCAAGTAGCACCAGCTCACTGTAATGCACAAAATACTTAACTGATACCATCATTTGTGCTACCTCTGGGCTTCACTCAAAGCCTTCACTTTGCTACAAGTTTGTGAACCCATGGTCCCATTCAGGGAAGATGAGCAGCAAGGGAAAACGCACAACAACTCTGAGATATTTTGCTCTCTAGCTGCTTAACTTTTAGCCTTTTCTTGATGCTGTTTTCTTAAGTTCTACCATGCTTCAGGGGTCCTTATGGGCCCAGCTTTTTATGTTGAATTTTTATACTACCTCGCATCAATTTTGCAAGATCAGCCTGTGCAGAGTGGAATATCTCAGAGTTGTTGTGCGTTTTCCCTTGCTGCTCATCTTCCCTGAATGGGAC